CTACAGGTGAGGCTACAGGTGAGACTACAGGTGAGACTACAGGTGAGGCATCAGTTTATGTGGCCAGTGTGTTTGTGACAGTAGAAGAGAGAGAGCCAACCATGAGAACGGGGCGGGGCTAAGCTGCTGCCGTGTCAGAGGACTTACAGGTATGGAGCGGCTCAGGTAGCGTCCTGACGGGCCCTTCATAGCACTGTAGGGCCCAGGGCCTCTGCAAGCACTGAAGTCCTGGGGCCCTGGGTGGACAAAGCTTTTTCCTGGAGGGGGCGCTGTGGAGCCGAACAGACTGCTGTTGTTGTTGACCTCGTGCTGCATACCGCGAGGGCCATTACCATAGCGACAAAGAGAAGACGAGACCAGGGAGGAGGAGGAGGGGCTTAGAGGCACAGAGGAGGAGGAGGGAGGAGGAGGAGAAGAAAAACGATTTGTTGTTTCCTCCTCCACATAAAGGTCTGTCAGAGAGCTGGCCAATCGAGAGCCAAGGGCTGAGCTGAGGGGAGGAGCATATTAACAACATGTTATAAACTAAAAACAATCAGACACAGGTGATGAAGGGGAGGAGTCACAGACACAGGTGATGAAGGGGAGGAGTCACAGAAACAGGTGAAGACACTGACCGCCTAATATTCGAGGCTGTTGATGACGGACTCCTCCCAATCCTCTTGGCTGCACCTGAAGCAGAGGATGATGGGAACCTGGAGGACTTTAGGGGGGAGGGGGGGGTGGCTCCCAACGATAACCTGAACACACACATACAGTCATAGTTTGATGTGTTGTGGGCGGAGTCAAGGACTGGATCAGACATGTCATGTGACAGACTGCTGATGTCACATGACTAAACAGGAAGTGGGCGGTACCTGAGCGGCTGAGATGCTGATCTGCTGTGAATCTTCATGTCATCCATCCTGAAACCAAACAAGGAGTTAACATGTGACCACGTCACACCCTCTCAAACATTCACGCACATCCTGATCAGACATGAATTCACCCCCCACCCTCCTACCTCAGAGGTCCGGTGGTGGCGGGGCGGGGGGGGCGTCGACTCTTTAATGCTCTCAGTTTGTCTCCCTGAGTCAGAGCGAGTCCACCGTCTGTAAGCTCCCCCTGGTGGATGAAATAAATGCACCATGAGTGTCTCATCCCCTCCCTCCATGTCTCCTGCACATTGGTGAGCTCTAGAGCTGTGGACATGTCTCCATACTTAGAGGCACCATGACGTGACTGAATAATTATAACACTGCTGCTTCAGGACAGACGCTCACTAAAGCACACACACACACACACTCACGCACGCACGCACGAACACACAGACAGACAGACACACACACACACACACACGCACGCGCACACACACGCACACACACACACACTCACGCACACTCACGCACACAGACAGACACACACAGACAGACAGACGGACAGACGCTCACTAAAGCACACACACACACACACACACACACACTCACGCACGCACGAACACACAGACAGACAGACACACGCACACACACACAGGCACACAAAATACATTATTTTCCCAAAGATTATGACTCAACGTGATGTTTTAACTTCTTTGTTGCAGAAGAAGCGACGCCCTGTTCAGCAGGTTTTTAATAAAGATCAGTTCTACGTGTGATGATCAGGAAACTTCTGAGGAGCAGAGTCACTTGTTGACCAGCAGAGTAATGCTCCTGGGTGCAGTGGTGCAGCCAAGGGGGTGGGGGGGCACCTTGTGTGGAGCTGAGTGGTGATGAACGACTAGGCTACCAGTGCCTCCAGTTTACAGCTAATTAGCCAAAACAAGTATAGTTAACTTGTGTCTTGTGACACTGCAGGTGAATAGTCAAATTTTGGCCAATAAAAAATGTAATGAAAGCCAAAACGGTTTCATTTCAATATGAACATTCTTATATACTTTATTGTAAACTAAATATACAATCTCAATTAATGATATAATAAACAATAAATGATGAGGATGAT